AAAAAAAGTATGAGCATTGATTTGGGGGCTTTATATTTCTGAGTTTCGGAACATCACCACAGTATCAGCTTCCCTCGGGCAAATGACTTAATTTTTATGGAATGCAATCTTTCTTGATGTTTTTTCAATAGCTAAAATCATTCGGAAACTAGTGAGAACAGAGCTGCAAAGGTTATAGGAGTCGTTCGACGAGGGATGGTGACTTTTACGATTTCCATCGGCAAAAAGACAAGCCGCCGTTATTGATCAAACATAAATGTTTTACTGCTTGAGGTCGAGCTAGAGGAGTTTGCGAAGACATTGAGGGGAAATGGCGAATACAGGTTATAAAAGAAAATTTTCCAGGAAATCACAGGCTGTAAATGCCTATCTGCTAACGGTTTTATGAGGGGAGCGGCAGTAAATCCGTAGGAACAGGTGTGCCGCAAGACACAGGTACTTGTGGAATTTATCCGAAAAGGCGTAGGCTATTATTTGTTGTGTTTCCTGTAGCATCACTGAAAAAATACCGCAGGCGCCTTCTATAGACTTTCTTCTGGAAAGCAGTTCAAATTCAAGCTTGAGGAATGGAAAGGACAAGTGCCGCAGCTCATCTGTCGACTGTCCCCTAACACAATTGCATTTTTGCTTCAACTTGTTAAAAACAAAAGACCAGTGGCCAGTTCCCTTCATCGTGTTTGAATCCTTCGTAAATTCGCGATAACTGGATTTATTTGGAGGACGCAACTAGGCCTCCTGTAGGCTGTATTCGAGTAGCAGTGCTCCAGAATTTTTCACTGTCCCTCACTTCTTCACCTTCATGCCTCAAATCCTAGGAAAATAGCTTCAATATAATGTTCAAAAAAATGTGTGTGGAGGGCAGTTGGTTGAGAAAAACAAATAAACAACTGCTCCTTAGGAGACTGAGGTGGAGGGGATTCTTACATATCAGTGATGTGCTGTGCAGCCGAGTGATAAATGCTCAGGATTAGGAAGAAATGTTATATGGTTCTAAATAAGACAAAACCTTTAAACAAACAGAAACTCACCAACAAACGAAATGAAGGACAATTGGTCAGGGAAGACAACAGTGGCGAGCAAAAAAAAGATAGGCGATCGAATCAACGAGACAATTAGGCGCATATCCAGATCTGGGAAGGGATGACCGTTTCTCCTTTGCCCTGGCGAGTATCAAAATCGCATAAGAAAAATGCGAAAAAGTGATGGAGGAATTGCCGGTGGGAGATGAAGTTTAACTTGAGCAGCGTCCAACAGGGAAATGCAAAAGTTATCAGGACCAGCCCAGAGTTGATGAATTACGTTAAAAGCGAGTAATTGGGCAACGTCTAAAAAGGCATTTTTAAGCAAAAAGGTAAAAATTTGGGAAAAGCATCATTTCGGAAAGCGACTCTAAAAATTTCCCACTTTTCTGGAAGCTGACTGTGCTGCTGAAGATATCAGTCTTCGGCAGTTTGCCATTCTCTTAATTTGTCGAAGAAAGCAACAGAGTTTAT